GTCCTAATTTCATTTGTTAAAAGAGGAAAAGATGGGGCGGGAGGGGGAAGCTAATTTATTAATATGTAATAATTTCATCCCAAAATGTCAGCAGGGAAGCTAGCGGCAGCGGCTGGGCTGAGGTAGGTCTGCAGCTGCTGGTTTTTTTGGTGCTTTCCTCCAGAGAAGCAGCTTCCCAACATCCCTTCTTGTTGAAGCCTCCTCCTCCCCCGTTCCTTGCAACAGGTGGGAATCATACGGAAAAAAATAAAGTTATCTCCCCTTTCCGTATCTTCACCTACACCTGCAGCTCCCCCTGAGCCAGGGAACGCTGTGCACCATCAACCCTTCCTACTTACAGGGCTCCAAATTGAGGTATAAAGGCTTGAAATACTGACAGCAGGACTTACCTATTTTTTAGCTTTTTATTTTTCTATTTTTTAGTCCTCTAGAAATAACTCACAAAATTACAGCCCAAGGCACTGCACAGTGGAGGGCCCAGCGGATTGCAGCAATGGGAGGAGGAAGCACCCGAGCCCCGGGGGTGCAGGGGCTTGGGAAATCAGGGTTTTTTTTTTTGCCCGTTAACCCAGCTGCCTTTGGGCAGAGGGTAGGAATGGTGAGAGGGAGCTTATTTTTTGCTTTAAAACCCTCAGGCGTTAAAATTGCAGTGCGACAGCTCAGCAAGCTGGCCAGGACGGCAGCGAGGGGATGGCTGGAGCATCCCGGGGCGGTGCCCAGAGCTGGGAGCCCTGGAGGAGCAGTGGGACGGGTGCCCGGAGCAGCCACACGTGGGACAGACCTGTGCTTTTTGTGCTTTTTATGCTTTTTGCAGCCTTCGGGCCAGGCTGATGCTCCCCTGCCTCCTCCCTGGCTCTGCCTGCTGCTCCTCCAGCTCCGTCCTGGAGCCTGGGTTGCGGCGAACGGCTGGGATCAGGGTGCCCACCTGGGTGTCCTAGTCCAGCTCCTCATGCTGTTCCTTTTCGTTTAAATTCACCTGGAGATAGAGACAAGGCTTTCTTTTCAATCACCTCATCCCCACCAAAGTCTAAGTCCCCTTTTCCCACCATCCATCGCCCCGCTCAATG